AGCCTTCACGCCTGGGGTCTTAAAAGCTTGCAAGTGGCCATCTAAGATGCATCAATTGGTCCCAACCGCCTGGAGTAAAGGAGAATGAAGAACACCAAAGACACAAGGAAAATATTAGCCCAAGAGACAGAAAGGGCCACATAAACCAGAGACTTCATCAGCCTGAGACCAGAAGAACTAGATGGTGCCTGGCTACCACCAATGACCACCCTGACAGGGAACACAACAGAGAGTCCCTGATGGAGCAGGAGAAAGGTGGGGTGCAGAACTCAAATTCTAGTAAGAAGACCAGACTTAATGGTCTGACTGAGACTGGAGAACCCCGGAAAGCATGGCCCCTGGATTCTCTATCAGCCCAAAACTAAAACAATTTCCGAGGCCAACTCTTCAGACGGGGATTGGACTGGACTGTGGGACATAAAGTGATACTCGCGACTAGTGTGCCTCTTAGCTCAAGCAGATACAAGAGACTAAACGGGCAGCTTCTGTCCAAAGGTGAGATGGGAAGGCAGAGAGGGTTAGGAGCTGATTGAATGGACATGGGGAGTCAGGGGTAGAAAGGAGTGTGCTGTCACAGTATGGAGACAGCAATTAGGGTCACATAACAATGTATGTAGAAATTTTTTATAGAAAAAAAATTAAAATATGCACACACACACACACACACACACAAAGACTACAGCCTTCAGTATGGATTACACCTCATAAAGGAAACACAAATCCTCACAACTGGACCAATAAACAATATCATGATAAATGGAGGAAAGACTGAAGTTGTCAAGGATTTCATTTTACTTGGATTCACAATCAACGACCATGGAAGCAGCAGTCAAGAAGTCAAATGACACATTGCATTAGGCAAATCTGCTGCAAAAGACCTCTTTAAAGTGTTAAAAAGCAAAGATGTCACTTTGAGGACTAAGGTGCACCTGACCCAAGCCATGATATTTTCAATTACCTCATATGCATGTGAAAGCTGGAAAATGAATAAAGAAGACTGAAGAAGAATTGACGCCTTTGAATTATGGTGTTGACGAAGAATACTGAATATACCACGGACTGCCAGAAGAATGACTAAATCTGTCTTGAAAGAAGTACAGCCAGACTGATCTTTAGAAGCAAGGATGGTGAGACTACGTCTCATGTATTTTGGACATGTTATGAGGACAGTCTAGTCCCTAGAGAAGGATATCATGTCTGGTAAAATAAAGGGTCAGAGAAAAAGAGAAAGACCCTCAGTGAGATGGATTGGTACAGTGGTTGCAACAATGAGCTCAAACGTAGCAACAATTGTGAAGGTGACCTAGGACCGGGCAGTGTTTCGTTCTGTTGTACGTAGGGTCGCCATGAGTCGGAATCGACAGGACAGCACCTAAAAACAAACAACAAAACAACTAACATGAAAAGTAAACAGTAATGACTCGTCTATTTGGCAGCATCAAGGAGTGAGAAATTCTACAAGAAACTGATCTGACAAGGATGCTGAGTCCATTCAACAGGGAAAGAAGAGTCTCTTCAATAAATGGTGCCAGGAAAACTGGGTTTCCATATGCAGAAAAATTAAACAGAATCCATGCCTCACACCCTACACAAAAACAAATTCAAAACTGATTAAGGACCTAAATGTGCAAACTAAAAATAAAATTCTCAAAAGAACAAGCAGGGCAACGCTGTTAGGCCTAGCTTTTAACAACCGACTATCTATTATAACAACAAAAGGACAAATAGCAAAATACAAAGTAAATAAATGGGACCTCATAAAAATTGAAATCTTTTGTTCATCAAAAACCTTTACCAAGAAAGTAAAAGGCAAGCAAGCTACCCACTGGGAGAATATCTTTGGAAACTATATATCCGATGAGAACCTAATAAGCAAAATACATACAAAACTTTGATAACAACAAAAAGACAAATAACCCATGCATAAAATAAGCAATGGACCTCAACAGACATTTCACCAAAGAGGACATTCAAATGGCCAACAAACACATGAAAAAACACTCAGCGTCATCAGCTATCAGACAGATGCAAATCAATACCACAATGAGATGCCATTTCGCTCCCACTAGGATGGCTATCACAAAAAAAAAAAAAAACAGAAAACAACAAACGTTGGCAAGGATGTGGCAAAACTGCTACTCCTACCCATTGCTGGTGGGAATACAAATGGTATAGCTGTTGTGGAAAACAGTGTGGCAGTTCATCAAAAAACTCAAAATACAACTACCATACGACCCAGCAATTTCACTCCTAGATATACACTCAAAAGACTTCAAGGCAGAGACTTGAACAGAGACTTGTACACCAACGTTCATTGCAGCACTATTCACAATAGTCAAAAGGTGGCAACATTCTAAATGTCTAAATCAACAGATAAATGGATAAACAATAAATGTGGTACTGTACAAACATACATCAGAATACTACCCAGCCAGTAGGAGAAATGAAGTCATGACACATGCTACAATACAGATGGAGCTGAAAGACAATATGCTGAGTGAAATAAGTCAATCACAAAAGGACAAATATTATAATTATATGACTCACTTTCATAAAAACACATGAAAATGCTAATGTATAGAGAACAAAGTTTATTAGTGGTTACCAGGAGCATAAGGGAGGGGAAAAGGGGGTTAATGGTGATGAAAATATCGTGTTGATTATGTAGGGTTGCACAGCCCATTATTGTAATTGCTGTCAATAAGCTGTACACCTGTAAAAAGTTGAATTGGCAAAAGTTGTGTGACTGATATATTTACAACAACAAAAAATAGATAATATTTATAAGAAGGATAAAAAAAAGAAAGAGAAAGTAGCTGCTGACGCTGATTATATACACCAAACACCTCATGAGATTTGGTTTCTTAGTTTGAGGGTTTAGGGTCATGGTTTCATGGGACATCCCAGTTAACTGGCCTAATAACATCCTTAGTGCTTCTGTTCTACCCCCTAGTTCATGGCGTAGTATCTGGGGTCTTAAAAGCTAGCAAGCGGCCATTAAAGGTGCAACAACTGGGTCTCTATTCTCCTGGAAAAAGAGAGAGACAGTCAACAATAGGAAGAGGATATGGAATGATGGAATGTATGGCTTCCATGAATAACTGCCTCCTTTGCCATGAGACCAGAAGAACTGGATGGTGCCCAGCTACCATTACTGAACGTTTTAATCAAAGATTTCATAAAAGAATCCTGATCAAAAGGGGGAAAAAGCAAAAACGGAACTTTAAATTCCCATGGACTCCAGACTTCCTGGAGCCATGAAGGTTGGATGAACTCCTGAAACTATTGTCCTGAGATCATCTTAAAACCAAAAATATCCCTGAAGTCTTCTTAAAACCAAACAATAGTTTAGCTTAATTAGTAAAAAAAATGTTTGCCTTAAGCATTATGCGCTTTTAAAAACTATCTATATGGGATCAAATTGACAACAGCAACTTGAAAGGTTAGACAGGAACCTTAGGAGGCAGTGAATTTATGTCAATAAGGGAGGAATAACTTAGAAAAGGAGGGTGAAAATGGTTGCACAACTCGAAGAATGTAATCAATGTCACTATATGGTGCATGTAGAAACTGCTGAATTGGTATTATGCTTTACTGTGTATATTTTCAACAACAGCAACAATATAAATAAACTTTTTAAAAAGAAGGAACTGAAATGTAATATAAATGCCAGAAGTTTGTTCTTTCCAAATATAGTTCTCCCATCCTCCTTACTCTATCAGCCTGGACTTTCACTTCTAGGTCAATATGGCTAACTGTTGCAGCTATTCTTATTTCTTTCTACTTTGCCATTTAACTTGTACAGAGTAAACCAAAAAAACCCAAACCCGTTGCCATTAAGTTGACTCTGATTCATAGCAACGCTACAGGACAGAGTAGAACTGCCCCCTAGGGCTTCCAAGACTGTAATCTTTATGGAAGCAGACTACCACATCTTTCTCCCATGGAGCAGCTGGTGGTTTCGAACCACCAACCTTTCATTTAGCAGCCTTATGCTTAACCAGTGCACCACCAAGCCTCCTTTTGTATAGACTAGACAATCAAAATTTCAAGCCCACTGGGATCATATCTAGAATAAAACAAAACTGATTCCGAGGGAGATTCTAGAGTAACCAAGGAGAAAAATGAATGAGTTTTATTGTTTAGACATTTATAACATTATTTTGACTGTTCAAAGGGCACTTTCAGGTTTTAGTTCTCCACTACATTCTGAAGAGTTGAAACTACCAAAAACTTTCAGCACAATGAGGAACCACTGTAATGATCATCTCAAGGTAATTTTCAAGCAAGTATACAAAGGGATTGCCAAAATATAAGAATTGGGACATTTGCCATCAAAGAGTTTAAAATTCAGTAATGTAAAACAGAACACACATATGTAATAGTGTAAGACAATTAAACAATATTTAAACGATGTAGGACAACAATTGAAGACATAATAACATGGCTGTAGAGGTATTAAAAAAAAAAAAAAACAAACTCATTGCCATCAAGTCAATTCCAACTCATAGCAACCCTATAGGACGAAGTAGAACTGCCCCACGGGTTTCTAAGGAGCGCCTGGTAGATATGAACTGCTAACCTTTTGGTTAGCAGCGGTATCTTTTAACCACTGCATCACCAGCGCTTCCTATAGAGGTATAAATAAATAGTAATTACAAATGACTGGATCAGACAATAAATGATACAGGAATCCAAAAGGAGAGATCGTTTCTTCAGGTAAGGAATGGAGAAAACGGGAAAATGATTCTGAAAAATTTTTTACAAGACCTTGAGTGAAGCTGAATCTTTTGATCACAGAAAGGAAAGCCTGTTGAAATGAAGTTCCCAACATTTGTCTTATACTACACCATGTACTGTTTAAGATTTCACGGTGATGTTGACAAAAATTACCCTTAATACAGAGTTAAAACGAAGGCTAATATAAACTCCTTGTCAATTAGTTTAAAAAGAAAATGAAGCATGCCTTCATGGAAGAAATAATCAAAATGATTTCTTACCTTGAATATACCAACCCAATCTTTTGGATGTGGATGGATATATGCAGTTAAGGTGTAATGACATTCCAGGTGTGCATTAGGAAGATAACTCTTGGCCACATTTTGAAAGATGACATGTGCAAAGTTGGACGTCTGCAATGGGACTTCTTGAAAGGATGTCATTGTGTATCTGAAACAAGTAATTAATATAAGTTGAATGAAACCATCTAAGAAAAACATATACCTTCACAAAATACCTAATATTTAATGTAAATCTTTTGGATATTTGCATGCCATAAATATTAAGAAGACATATACTTTTTTAATATTGGAACATCTCCTTAAAAATAGGATTAAATATAAAAACACAGACAAATTGGGAAATAACTAAAGTTAATACGGCTCATACATGGGGATTGTTGTTGTTAGCTGCCATCAAGTGAATTCCAACTCATAGTGACCCCACATACGCAGGGTAGAACTCCTCCATGGGGTTTTTAAGGCTGTTACCTTTTGGAAGCAGATAGCCAGGCCTGACTATTGAGGCGACTCTGGGTGGGTTTAAACCTCCAACCTTTCGGCTAGTAGTTGAGCACTTAACAGTTTCCACCACCATTAAAGTTAAAAAAACAAAAACAAAAAACTGTCAACTCTCCTGGAAAACCTAGCCCTCTGCTTCTAGTGTAACCAAAAACAAATGAACCAAAAATGTTCAGTGTAGAGGCGAGACCAAAATGGCGAAGTAGTCAGACGCTTTCGGTGGTCCCTCTTACAAAAAACACCCAAAAAACCAAGTGAGTCAATTATATATGACAATCTAGGAGCCCTGAACATCAAAGGCAAAGTTCAGGAATTGGACTGGGTGGCAGGGGGAGGGAGAGACGGTTCAGAAGCAGTGAGGGGTTGCTACACCTGACCCGGCAGGAGCTGGCGCCCTGTGGGCAGGATCAGCTGGCATGCACAGCAAGGCAAGCAGTGGTGTTCAGAACGTGTTTTACAAGTCGGGAGAGATCGAGCAGCGGAGAGTCTATTCAGGTCTCCAGAGCCAGTGAAAAGCAGCACTCAATTTGCAAAAGATAAGTACATGTGTTTAACCTACATGCAGATCAAAAAACACCTTGTTTGGGAAGACCCTCTCTCCCCTCCCATTCTGCACTGGGTCCCGGGCCGGCTTCATCTACTGTCGTGTCCCCGGGGCCAGAAGTAGGACACGTCAAGAGCACTGAGCCATTCTCTCAGCCTTGGAGATGAAACAAATTAACACACAGAAAAAAATAATCTGCCAACTCCCCTAAGCCAGGAACTCAGGGCAGGCATAACTCCTTTGCCTAGGCACAGGCATAAGGCATCCATGGACTTTGAATACTTTTCACCCCTGTATACACCTGTGTGGGCCCATTTCAACAGCATAGGCCCTCATCAGCACAGTACAACAGGCTATATACCTGAAGCCTAACTTCAACCATATCAGGTATACGGTGGAAGTGACAGGTTTATGACATTTGATACCACCCTACCCATTGAGCAGGATCCTCACCTACCCACATGAGAGGCCTAAGGACTGGTGGCTCCATCCACACCATCTACCCACCCACAACAGGGGTCCAAGAAGAGGTGTGCCGCCCAGTCCTTACATCCAACAGCACTGGGTGCCCACACTCTGGCTGTAAAACCCACCCACCTATAAGCTCTAGGGAACACAGACATGCTTTCATCCCAGACACTCAGGGGCAGCAATCAGCCCTCTCCCTGCCTTGCTCAGCACATGCTCCCCTACTGCAGCTAGATACCTATGCCTACTCCAATCACCACTGCCCATCTAGCGTTGTAGGTGAGAGCCTGCACCATACACTTGGTGACCAACCATCTGGACACCGGAGCTGAATCCATACAAGAAAAGTAAATGGGCTCCTGGGCTAACATACCTAGTAATAGATCTAATCACTTGGTGACAGGACATTAGGGCTTCAAAGGTACCAATAATCAAATTAGCTCATATGAGCAGGTTATTTGGGAACATCAAAACAAAACAAAACAAGAAGCTATGACACCATAAGTAAACATGAAATAAATATAATAACATATTGATGGCTCAGAGACGACAGTCAAAATCAAATCACATAAAGAAGGAGACCATGATGGCTTCACCAAGCTCCCAAAACAAAGAATCAAGAAACTTTCCGGAGGAAGAGAAGTTCTTGGAATTTCCAGAGGCAGAATACAAAAGATTAATATACAGAACCTTTCAAGAGATCAGGAAGGAGATCAGGCAAAATGCAGAACTAGCCAAGGAACACACAGACAAAGCAACAGAGGAACTTAAGATTAGAGAAGAGCACAATGACAAACTTAACAGGCTGCAAGAATCATAGAGCAAACAGAAATCCAGAAGATTAACAATAAAATTTCAGAATTAGACAACTCAACAGAAAATCACAGGGGAAGAATTGAGGCAATGGAAGTCAGAATTAGTGAAATTGAAGATAAAGCACTTGCCACCAACTTATTTAAGGAAAAATCAGAAAAAACAATTTTAAAAAATAAACCCTAAGAATTACATGGAACTCTATCAAAAGGAATAACCTACAAGTGACTGGAGTACCAGAAGGGGTGGGGAGTGGGAGGGGGACAGAAAATACAGAAAGAATTGTTGAAGATTTCTTGGCAGAAAACTTCCCTGATATCATGAAGGGCTGAGAAGATAACTAAGATGCTCATTGAACCCCCACAAGGTAGATCCCAAAAGAAAGTCAGCAAGACATATTATAATCAAACTTGCCAAAACCAAAGATAAAGAGAGAATTTTAAGAGCGGCTAGGGATAAACGAAAAGTCACCAACAAAGAAGAGTCAATAAGAATAAGTCTGGACTACTCAGCAGAAACCATGCATGCAAGAAGGCAATGGGATAACACATACAAAGCCTTGAAGGAAAAAAAAACGACAACCAAGAATTATATATCCAGCAAAACTGTCTCTCAAATGTGATGGCAAACTCAGGGCATTTCCAGATAAAAAGAAGTTTAGGGAATTTGTAAAAAATCAAACTAAAATTACAAGAAATACTAAAGAGAGCCCTCCAGTTAAAAAATCAACATCAAATAACAACCCAACACTAGAACACAGGACAGAGCAACCAGATATCAACCCAGATAGGATGTCACAAAAATAAATCAAAGCTAAAACACTGAAAATAGGGAAACAAAGACATCAATATGTAAAAGATAACAACATTAAAACAAAAACAAGAATTAAAAACTGTAGTCATAGATCTTTCATATAGAGAGGAAGTCAAGGCAATATAAAGAAATAAAACATGGGTTTAAATTTATAAAAACAGAAGTAAATATTAGGGTGACCACAAAAGAAACTAACAATCCTACACAGCAAAATAAAAAACAAGAAAAACATAAAGACTCACCAAATACAAAATCAACAACAATGAAAAAGATGTAAACAAAATACATAAAGAAAAATGACTCAGCACAGAAAATTAAGTGGAACAAAGAAACTGTAAACAACACATAAGAAAAAGACATCAAAATGATAGCACTAAACTCATACCTATCGATAATTATGCTGAGACTTCCAGGCAACATGGCACTATAGTCAGAAGCACCAGGCCGTCCCTCTGCAGCAAAGATTAGAAAAACTAAGTCAAACAGAGTCACACGTCAATCCTGAAACCCTAAGCATCAAATGAAGAGATTAAACAACTCAGCCAAGCACTGAATGGAATAAGAAATTGACCAAGAACAGAGAGCAAGGAGACATACATGCAGAAGTCCCCATCAACTACCACAGCACGGATCCAACATGTTAGACTATCGGAGATCAGTGAACAGGGGTACGAGAAAGCAGCTTCATGGAGCTTCCAGTAGGAGACAGAACAACTGGTAACCAGCGAAATAGACTTTCCTACCCCCCTCCCTTCTTCACCCTGACTTAGCCTCCTCTGCTTCCTACAGCCACAATCTCTTGGCCAGGAAGCACCAGCTTCATGCTGGTGTTGCTTGGATTCCACTAGCCGGCACGGGGCGACTCCCTGAGTGCCTTTTGTTGGCTGCTAGTGTTGCTTTTTTCCGCTTCTTTAGATTTCTTCCTTACCTCTCATCACCTCCCCCTCCTTCCTTGCAAATACCTGGCTCTGTGAGCCATCTTTACTCCCTCCTGAAAGGCTGCAAAACACCGCTCAACTGTGACACTGCTTACCGGCCTGTGCCGCCATGCTGGTGGGACCCCTGGGGCTTCTTTGTTTGCTCTGATTTGTTCTGATTTGTTTGTTTTCTTTTTCTTTTCTTGGCTTGGGGTCCCCTTCTAGCCAAGCAGTACCACGCAGCTTAGAAGCTACTCTCTTACTCTACACAGAGGAACAGGGACATCCCTGGGGGCATTTTTTTTCTTATTATTTGTTTTCCTTTTTTTTTGGTTTGGTTTTTTTTTTTGTTTGTTTTGTTTTCTTCTCTTTCTTATTCCCTTTTTGTCTTTCTTCATTTCCAGTTTCTCAACTTATTCATTTTTTTCTTTTAGCTTTTTCTTTTTTCATTTTTCTTTTTCCCCATTTCTCAGTCTCTAATCTCTCCACTTCAATACCAAGCTCCCTTATCTCTCTTTCATGTTTGTTTGTTTGTTTTTGGCTCCTGTTCCTCTCTCCTCTCTCTCCTCATCCCCATACCCATCTTAGCTCCACACATCACAATCTACCCCCTCCTTCCTGCCTACCTGAACCATGTGCTTAACATCACACTCCCAAGCAGCACAGGTACGGCCTACTGGAATCTGCCTTGCACTAATCCCGGTCCACATTGTTGGCCCTAGTACGTGCCACAAACAACCCATCCCGGCAACTCCCCTTCAGCTGGACCTGCCCTGCTGTACCATACCTGAGTGACTGACCCTGCCGACTGCTGATGGAGGTGAAAAGTATCGTGCCCATAGACGAGCAAACAACAAGAAAAAAGCACAGCTCACCTGCTCAGACATAACCAAATAAAACAAAAAGGCAGGATGAAACAAACAAATCTACAATGAATAAACGAGGAAAATAACCATTTAATGCCCCAAAGACAGCAGACAATATCAAAACATTTACAAAAACAGGACAGAATGGTTCCAGCAGGAGTCAAAAATAAAACACCAGATGACTTTCCAGTAGAAGAAAAGGCACTAGACCAAACTGATAGGGAATTCA